TGTTTCATATGGATGTTGCAAATGTAGATCAGGATGTTGCAAGTGTTTCAGATATATATTGTAAGTGCATATTCTAAATATTTCAGTTGTTTCAGACGTACGTTGCAGCATGGATTGTGTTTGGTTCAACTTTTAAAAAAAGCTCGTGCTATAAAAAAACAGAACGTCTACCAAATGTATGGCATATGAAGTTGCTGAAATTGCTTTCACATAGTACATTTTATGAGTGCCATGGACCATATTTTTGGTTTTCACATTTTTGTTTTCCAAATAGCTAGAAATAGAGTGATGTATCACATCCGATTCAAGGCGTTAGAGAAAGAGGACAGATTTCATAGTTGCTCTAACTAAATACTCTTTTCAGGTTACCTTAAATTCGGTTTGTTCAGCTTCTTTTTTAGCCGGAACAGTGTTTTCTCTCACAATATTTCAGCCAGAATAGTGTTTTCAGTCAATTTCAGCCAAGTTTCAGCAAGCCGAATAGGACCATAATTTTTTTCACACCATATAGCTCACAAGTAGCTTTTTAACAACTCGCAGTTGAATCAAACAGACCCTTCAACTTAAGAGCGAGGACAAGCACTCGTGACGACGACCACCAAGGAGGCATTCATCCATATATCTATATTCGTCAATGTTTTTATCGATTCATGTAAACTCTCTGTTCAACATTTTTGAAGCTGATTTGGCAATCTGTAAAAATCAAGCTTAAGTTTTGTAGAACAAAATTAAAACTTTTCGGTCAAATCATGTAGGAACTTATTTTTTTATGAGATGAAAGTTTGTCCGATCTAGCTGTATACATACGTTGGAAGAATTAAATGGGAAAAATTAAATTTAATAAAAATTAAAAATGGGAACAAGGAAGGATCACTCCGCTGGTCACGCGAGATAGTAGTTAGCTGTTCTCGTGAATCATTTATTCCGTACCTCAAATCCTAATATAACCGCGTTAGATCATGCATGATTAATTTTACCAATGTCGTACTAGGTCCTTCTATATTAGTTTTCTTGTGATTCCACATGAGGCTACTCTGACGCTTTTCTTTCTGCTTTGTGATGACTCCACTACACCTTTTTCTTTTGTTCATCATGTTTAATTTTTCAAATACATATTATTATTATTATTATTATTATTATTAATCAATACAATGTATTTGTCATGCATCTAACTCGACTTAGACCCTGTTTCAATCCATTGGCTGTTGATAGTTAGCTACTTTCTCCATTCCAAATTATAAGACATTTTCACTTGTCTAAATACATAGTTTTTTATATGTACTTAGATATACACTATGTCTAGATACATAGTAAAATCAATCTATATAGAACAGTTAAAACGTCTTATAATTTGCAACAGAAGGAATAGCTAATAGCTCATAGTTAATATAGCTAGCTAACTAGCTACTATTAGTTGGTTTGGCCCAATTGATGAGATAGGTATTAGTTGTTTTTTCACCTAACAATTATCTAAACTATTAGTTCGATTGTTTGGATCAAAGGAGCTAATTATTAGGAGGTAGATATGCCGCGACCCGTCGCGCAATAGCGCAGCGCCTGACCCATCCACCGTGTCTTCTTTCTCGCATCTCGTCTACCTCGTGCCCTTCCTCCCCCCACCCCCGCTGCCCCCGGTCAGCAGCTGCTCGTCACATCGCCGCGCCACCCACCTCCCACCCCCGTCCCTCAACTCCACCCACCCTAATCCCAAGGCGTTGGCCAGCTCCGCCACCAGCCCCGCCCAACCACCGTCCCTCGCCGTCGTGTCGCCCCTCTCCCCCGTGCCCCCCAACAAACAAAAAACTTCTTCTAAGCCTGCTAGCAGGCGCGGGCGTGGGGGAGCGGGTCACGCTCCAACGCGACAGTCATGTATTTGCGTTTCCGTAATTATTAGCTCTATATGGACTAAATAGGATCTTAATCTCTTACAACTAAAAAGACTAAAAGTAAGACTATTTTTTGTGCGACTTTTTTTTTGGGTCGCTCCTCCCTTCCGGCCATGCGATACCCCGCGCGATAGAAAAAGAAACTGTCATCCTTGCGATCCCCGCCTGCTTTGAAGGAAACAAATCGATCACCTGAGGCCACATGCATGTAAGAAAACAATAATCATGCATGGAAGGAAACAATTGGCAAAGATCAAGCAAGACTCCTCCCTTTCGGCCATGCGATACCCCACGCGATAGAAAAAGAAACTGACATCCATGCGATCCCCGCCTGCTTTGAAGGAAATAAATCGATCACCTGAGGCCACATGCATGGAAGGAAACAATAATCATGCATGGAAGGAAACAATTGGCAAAGATCAAGCAAGACTCCTCCCTTCCGGCCATGCGATACCCCGCGCGATAGAAAAAAGAAATTGCCATCCCTACGATCTCCGCCTGCTTTGAAGGAAACAAATCGATCACCTGAGGCTACATGCATGGAAGGAAACAGTAATCATACATGGAATAAAACAATTGGTAAAGATCAAGCAAGACGACTCAATAAGGTTGGCCCTTAATTTTAGTGTTTCCAGCATGCGGACCTGAAATTAAAAAGTGGATGCTCCTTGAGAACATCAGTGGTGCCAAATAAAAGATGTGCAGGTTATACATGGTGAGACTGGTGAACCTTCTGCAATTTCCTAAACGAATATTCTCACCATTAGTATATAGGTCCATTCCCCTGTGTTTTTTCGTGCTCCAATTAGCATATAATATAAAAGTATTGTTGTGTTCATCACGACTTCCAGTTGACTACTCCCATTAGCATATACTTCATCTGCCCTAAAATATAAGTCGTTATGGAATGTGTGCAGGTTAAACTTTCTCAACTTTGACTAGGTTGGTATAAAATACGTGTAATATTTAACAATCAATTGGTCGACTCTTGAGGCCACATGCATGTAAAAAATACATGTATTATAATTGGTCGAAGTTAAAAAAAAGTTAACTTCTCAGAAAGCGAGAATGAATTCTATTTTGGGATAGAGGGAGTATATGAAAGCAGTGTTGAAAATATTTTAACAATTAAGTTCGTCTCTGTCTTATTGGTAAGTTTAGACATCATAATGGCATCAAGATTTTTGACTCTCATGGACACCCTCATGGATCAGTGCAAAGCATCCCAATCCTACAGCATACACAAATGACAACCTTAAAGACCATCTTAGACATTCTGGTATTAGAGTATATACGTGCAGATACATAGACATGGTGGTGCAAGTGAGCAGCCAGCAGGAGTCGAGAGTTAGGGAGGTGTTTGGATCTCAGGACTAAACTTTAGTCCATGTCACATTGAATTTTTAGATATCAATTAGGAGGACTAAACATGAGCTAATTATAAAACTAATTACATAAGTTGTGGCTAATTCGCTTGCCAGCGCCATGTACAGGATGGTATGGAGATGTGGTGAAACTTATTCGTGAATTTGTTGGCGCACGAAAGAAATGGATATCGGAAATCTCTTCCTGCCGATATAAAAAATGATCTTAGCCGCATCACGGAAAGATCTACATAATAGAGTTTGTGAGCCTGCGACGCCATGCTCTCTGTGACTGTGTAAATTTCACGAACTTAGCTTTTTGGATTAAATGTCACTTTAACGTCGGTAATATACTTTTACAGTATTATTATCTTATCGTGCGATCTGTGTGTTTTAGTATAAAAGTTTAGCTGTCCCGTAGCAACGCACGGACACGAACCTGTTTACATATATACTCGAACATGTGTGTACATGATTATATGGAGATGCAGTGGAACTTATTCATAGATTTATTGGCGCATGAAAGAAATGGATATCGTAGAATTCTTTTTGCCGATATAAAATATTATCTTAACCGTATCACGAAAAAGTCTATACAGTAGAGTTTGAGATCCTGTGACGTCGCGCTCTCCGTGACTGTGTTAATTTCACGAACTTTATTTTTTGAATTAAATGTCACTTTGACGTCGGTATTTAATTTAACATTATTGTTATCTTATCGTGCGATCCGTATATTTTATTATAAAAAATTTAGTTGCTCCGTAGTTACGCACGAACATGCTCCCTAGTTAATATATATGCATCAGATGGAGTCATGGAGAGTATGCTGAATTCTATCTGGGCCAGTCATGACCTCAGCCCATAGACATATACAAAAGCCATTCCAATCGGGCCACCCGAGCTGTTCTTGGATTTGCCTCAAGTTAGCTAGTCAAAACAACATACTTGTTGGTCCAGCTAACACCCAGCCCGGTATGTTCCCAGCTGATCAGCCCAAACCGCCCAGATCATGCAATAGTTTATCCGAGTTTCTTTTTTTTTAGCATCAATAGTTTATCCGAGTTATCATGCTATAAGCTTCGCAGTTGACCTGCAAAAGGCAAAGCCGTGATGGTCCCTTCAGGCTTCAGCTTTCACAGGCGACAGGTAAGGAAGGACAACAGTAAGGACGATGGCCCACAAGTAGATGGCTCCATTTTTCCAGAAACGTGTGGGGAACTGGATTTTGAGTGTCACATCCAGCCTCTCCCCGTGCAGGATTGCTTGTGCATCTTGCACTCACAGCTACCCATGAATCCCTGATGTTTCTGAAGCGTCAAGGGACGTGAAGCTCAAGAAGGTCGGTAGGCGACGCTTGGCTTGCGGCCATACCGTCCATGCCCTCAGGTCCCCCGGCAGATCCAGGCCAGGGCGCGCTGCCCTCATCTCATATCAGCTGTTCAGTATCCCGTCATCCATGGCGGTATCCAGCTCAGGGAAATAGTATAAGTTTGCCAACCAACCACTGTTTGAAAGAATCAGCACGCAAAGTCAAATACAGCGCTTCATCTCGCGCATAGCCAACAACAATTATTGGTACATATACAGTGAAACTAGTCAATCGCCGGTGAGACGTAAATTAAATAATCTATACACATTTGCAATTGCTCGCCGGCCAGGAATTCACTAAGACCAGCAATCCCTGAATTCTAAAACACGTTAACACGTGCCTGATACAGAAGCAGCAGAATGCTGGGAGGAACACGGTCGGTCAGTCCAGCCGGAGCCCGGCGAGGTCGTCGACGTAGCTCCTGGGGCGCGGCACGGGAGCGCCGGCGACGACGCTGCAGGCATCGGCAAGCGCGTCGTCGTCGTCCCCGCCGCGGATGCCGTTGAAGAACGGGTCCTGGAGGAGCTCGGCGGCCGAGGGCCGGTTCCGGGGCTGGTCGATACAGCGCTCGATGAAGCCCCGCAGCTCGGGGTCCTTGAGCCGCTTGAGCGCCGCGGGCGGGACGCCCCGGGTGACGTTGTGGAAGATCTGCACGACGCTGCCGCACTCGGCGTAGGGCACCTCCCGCGTCACCATCTCCAGCGTGCCCAGGATGGTGTGCGCCACGTGCGTCTTGTCCACGATCGCCGCCAGCCCGAGGTCGCCGATCTTGACCTGCACGCGCGTGCGTACCGTTAGATTTAGCCCAAGGTTCGAACACGCATCGTCATTCGTATGGATCGAAAGCAACATCTACCGGACGCGACACTTTCAACCAAAAAAAAAAGGCAGGCAGGCTAGCAAGCAGCGCGTGCGGAATCTCGCGCGGCGCCCGCGCGCCGACGGCTCCTTGCTTGCTGCTGCTGCTACTTATGTTAGCTTAGCTGGATTGACAAGCGTGAGTCGCGACCAAAAAAAGCGATCGATCGTGTCAATATAAACCAGCGTAGCAAAATTAAAGCGCGCCTCCCCCAGCGTGCATGCCTTGGGAGGCTTCTCCTTTATTCCAAGGGTTAATCGGATACATGCCATTACAAATTTTACGTTTTTAAGATATACCATTACTATTTATGATATTAGAAACGTACCATTACAATTTCTCGTATCTTTGAAATATACCACTACTTACCCCTTTGCCGAGTCTATCACATTTTTTTGGACAAAATTGCCCTCATCTTCTTCATCCTTCCACATGCCTGGTGTAAGTGCTGAGAGCTTAAGCCACGGAGGAGTTCACACCCGCCTGGTCAAAGTGAGCTGCACCTACAGCCAACCTGCCGCAGTGAGCCAGTAATCGTGAATTCGTGATCCAGAGGCCGCTGGAGCTAGATGACGTAATCACCTACGTGCCTCCTCTATCCATGGATTGATGGATAGATGTGGAGCAGGAGTGCGTCTGGTTTGTGGCAACCCAAGACAAGACATTGCAGCCGCACGGGTACCAGCTGACGGCGGACACCATTCCGGCGCAGCACGGATCCTAGACTCTAGCCTCAAGGCCGTACGTGGAGCGGCAGGAGATCCTACATGTGAGGCGCTCTCACTGATTTCATCACTAGCATCTATGGCGGCCAGCCCCGAGCAGCTGAGCTAGCGTCGCCTGTGCTAGCATCTCAGAGATGAGGGCAATTTGGTCTAGAAATTGTGATTAATGTACTGAAGAGGTAAGTAGTGGTATATTTGAGAGATATATAAAATTATAACGGTGTGTTTTTAATATCGTAAATAGTTATATCCGATTAACCCTTATTCCAAAGGCGCAGCCAGCACACAGGAGCAGCGTATCTTGGGCTCCAGCTCGTGAGATCCTTTCAGATCTCTCTATCTCGCTCGCTTGACGCGGAGGGAGAGAGGTACAAGTCGTCACAGAAAAGAAGCGGAAAGGGCAGCAGATAGGGCCCGCCACCAATCCCCTAGTGCCCTAATGCGCCGGTCGGTGTACATCTCGAGCAGCTAGCAGCGCCAACAACCAGCACCAAATGACGGACCCAATTCAAAATTTAAATCTAATATGTATGTATGCATATCCTATTTTTCCATTAAAAATCCTAAAATTTGGCCTTATCGCGTTCTAATTGAATAGAACAGAATCGCGCAGATAGCCTCGATCTAACCCGATGAAAATATCTAGAATTGACGAAATAAAGGATTTATCAAGCATTAAAGCGGAGGGAGGGGGATTGGGCAAGGCGATCGTATGTAATCTATCTATATACCTGGCCGTTGTTGCCATTGATGAAGACGTTGCTGCAGTTGAGGTCGCGGTGGATGATGCAGGGGCCGTGGGTGTGGAGGTGGTTGAGACCCTCCAGGATCTGGCGCGCCCACTTCTGGAGCGCCTTGACGGAGACGTGGTGGTGGCGGTGGCGATGGCGGTACTCGTGGAGGCTCCCGGAGGTGCAGACCTCGGTGATGAAGTTGAGCACGCCGGTGTCGCGGTCCAGCCACACCTTGTGGAAGCCGGTGATGTGGTCGTGGCTGAGCGAGCGGAGGAGGCGCACCTCGGCGTGGAGGTGGTCCACCATGCCGGGGTCGCGGTCCGCCAGCGCGCGCAGCCGGACGCGGTTCCACGCCACCTCGATCCCCTCCTCCTGGTCGAACCTGCGGTACACCTTGACGGACCCGAGCCCCAGCACGTCCGCGTACCGCCCGAACCGACCCATCGGGTCCACCCAGGCCCGGCCCTGGGGCGGGGCGGGAGGGACAACCGTCCCAGGTCCACTGAGCCAATGGGCCCCTCCCCAGGTATACACGCAGTACTAGTACTCAGCACAACCTAAACATACGGCAAACACCGGTGATCACGCATTCACCGCGTGAGTCGCGACGCTGCGCTTCCTTTCCTCTTCTTCGAGTTCGAAGTTGAACTTCCGCTATTTCTGCGCTTCCTTTCTCCGCGAGCCAGCGTCGAGCGTCCCAGCGACGATAGGGGCCTGCCCAGCGAGTCGCCGCTCGCCGACACCTCCGTGCAGCTGCGCACCGCAGTCCGAAGACGTGACGTGATCTCTTGTCTCGTCCAATTCTATCACCATCAGGCAGGCTGCAGGCGGCAGCAAGCTAGCAATAATCAGGTATGTGATCGTGATCTCTTATCTGTCCAATTCCCTATTTTATAAAACTACAATTAATAATTGTTTATCTAAATAGCTCATCTGACATTAATTTAAATGATCTAATTTATGAGCTAAGGGTTATGCAACCTCTTTGCCAGATAGACAAATGACAGATTTAGAGATTTTTGAGTTTGTTACATAAGGTGATTGTTATCCTAGTACTTCCATTATTTCTTATCGCATCTTGTTCACTATGCCAGTGACTATGGCATCAACTGAAAAAAAGCTCCTCAAATTTAAAATCGTTGAAGAACTATTTGAGATCTATAATATCACAAGAGAGGTTAAATGAATTGGTAATATTATGCATTGAGAAGCGATTGTTGGATGAGATTGATATTGACACCAGCATCCATGACTTTCGCATCAAAGAATGTTAGAGATTTGAGGTAATTTAATATGTATATACAAATTATTTCATATGAATATTGTTTTTGCATTCAGTTAACCGCTTATTAGTAACATTTCATATATGTGTGTATATACTAGCAATGAGTAGTACTAGTAATATTATCATGTTTATATAAAAAGGCCTAAACTTTTAGTTTCGTTCTAGGTCCAGATAAACTCAGGACCGGCCCTGGGTCCACCTCCTCGCCATCCACACGGTCCACCGCCATGGCCGCCACTACCTACCCCGACGCGACGGCGTGCGCTGCGGCGGCGGCGGCGGTTTTCGCGGGCACGGGATGCGAGTTGCGGCGGCGGCGGCGGGCGCGAGGCGGGCGGCCAGCAAGAGGAGGGGAAGGAGCGGACCGTTGCGCCGGCGCCTATTTATAGCGGTGAGGGAGGGGATAGCTGCGGATAGGGACGAGGAGCCGAGGAGGTTGGTTGGCGTGGAGCGGCGCGGTTGGGCCGTGGCCCGCAGGGGCGCGGCGTACCGTGAAGAGTACGCGCCCCAGACGGAGCCTGGGCGTGTGAGTGAGCGGCTGGCCGAGGGGGCTACGAGTCAGGACGCATTCTGCTGCGCTTGTGCTACGCGTACCTTCTGCACGTATCGGGGATTTGCCCGAGCTTCTTTGCCGCGCTCGCTGCCGCTGGGCCGCACAGCGTGCGAGTGACGTGGTTTCTGAAGTCCTCGCATGGACTGGTGGCCGTCGGGCGAGTGTGAGCTGCTCCGGTAGGTTTCGTTATCTCGTCTGTTTTGATTGCGCCTTTGACCGAAACTCAGTAAACCGATTCGCAGTTTTTTTGTCATAGCCACGCACAAAGCTACTACAAGAGGTGAAGGTGAGAGCATCTCCAAGAGACTCTTTATATCCTTTATGATGGTTAGGAATAGAGATTTTGGTGAAAAACTAACATCCAACAGTTTTCTATATGGTCATCCAAATATAGCCATCTTCTATTCCGGATTTTTTGCTAGCCAAAAATAGAATACGAGAATGACTCTCTAGAGTGCGCATGAGATATAGAAAAACTGTTGGAGACTGAAAAGATATAGAAAGCGATTTTTATGCAAATGGCTCTCCAAATAATGATTTAGAGACTGAGATTTAGAAAGGTTCTTGGAGATGCTATGAGGTAGGCTTATCTGGTTAGGGTTGCTTTGAGCCTCTTCAACAAACTTTTCAAAGGAACTAGAGAGGCCGAGTCCCACGGTTTTCGGCAAAAAACGTGCAACTATGGCCCTGTATAGATTTATCGGGGCAGGCACTCCCAGGTCCCAACCTCAAAACCATAGTGGTTTTCATAGTCTAAAGAAACTACTTATAGAAATTACACCTCACAACTCATACATTTGCTCAGTGGACCCTCAACCAAACAGCAACACTCTCTCCTTTTCCCTTCACCGTTCTCTCGTGGCAGCGCACGGAGCGAGCGCGCATCAGCAAACAAAGCTGGGGCCTGTGAGCCTACAGCGGGGCAATGACCAGTGACAGGTCGGCAGTGAGTTCACGGGGGCCTATGAACACGCGACAAACGAACAAAGCAGGGGCATGCGAACGCCTAGAAGTGAGTGACAGCAGACGGTCCAATACGGTGGTGAGTGTAGTAGCTAAACGTGGGGATTGCGACCGTGCGATGTCGAGCGCAAGCGCTTTCCAAGCATGCGACGGTGTTAGTCCCGACCAGCCGAGGACTTGCACAGAAGCAAAATCCGGCCATAGTTGGGCGCCATCGAGGCTAGCTGCGAAGGATCGTCCAAGCGCGGGCGCATCCATGGTGAGGAAGAACCTAACCTCGTGGAAGAAACGACTCCTTCGTCCCACAATAGATCCCTCGAGTCTTTCGTCGTCGGACATCGAGCCGAATAAACAATTTCCTCCTCTTTTTCTCACTAAATCACTTGCCACACGAGACTTTTTGCTGACATGGTAGGCTATCAAAAGCTATAGAAACTATCTAGAGTCTCAGATTGAAACTGGCCTTATCTGCTAATAGTTAAGTAGCTAATGGTTCATTGCTAATATTAGCTACCTGACTATTAGTTGCTATTAGTTGGTTTGGTCCAAGCAGTGAGATGGTTGTTAGCCAGATATCCAACTAATAACTAGCTAAACTAATAGCTGAACTTGTTTAGATTCAAAGGAGCTAATTCTAGCAGCTAACTCTATTAGCTCCGTGAATTCAAATAGAACCTAAGTCGTGCTTGTAGCGGTATCCTGCCCTCAACATAGAAGTCTACAAACGTTAGTGGTGACATTTTCAAGTGCCTTGTTGCGAGGTTTTAGTCGTCCACCAATGGAAAACGCCAAACGGACATGATCGTTATCGAAGTTATATATGCGAAAGGTACGATGCTGGGTGCAACTTGGAATTGGAGAAAAACTCCGATTGGGATAACAACCGTCGTCACCCCTTCAGGTCTCTTGGTGTCGTCGCCTAGTACTCCTCTCTTTCTTTCTCTCCGACGAATATGCCGGCGGTAAGAAGCGGTAAGGGCGTCCTCAACAGTTCAGCCAAATAGCTAGATGACGTGGACATGCGATCAAATAAAAAAAGAGAAAATTTAAGGTGCATAGTATAGGCCCCGTTCGGATGGTATAGTTCTGGAGGAATTTGTATGATTTGGAGGAATTCTAGAGGAATCTATGAGAGAAAAATACTGTTCCGGATAAAAAAAAAGAAGCGGATCAAGCTAGGTTTAAGGGCACGCGAATGGACCTATACATTGAAGAGAGAGACAGACACGGTGTTCTCAGGAACTCGTGCGAGCTTAGCGATTTGCTCATCGCTAGCTACTGCAATTCTCATGCTCTCTCTCCTCTGAATCTCTTCTCTACAAGTATAACATACGGATTGTCGACATCTACCCGGCAGGACCAAAACATTCATGCGATCCATATCCGGCAGACAAATAATCACCACATGAAGACACTAGAAGACAAGTAAATAAAATGGAATAAAACTCACGGAATCACCGGCAGACAAATAATCACCGCATGAAGACACTAGAAGGCAAGTACAAAATGGAATAAAACGGAAAGAGAATTATGGGAAGAAAAAGAAATTTATTGGAATATCACCACACAATGATCATGATCGTGATCCAAATCTCGTTCGTCATCCTTTGTGTTGCGTGTTGACAACAAATATTTTTTTCCCAAAAAATAAATTGTTGCCATGCCTTATGCGGGCTAGGATATTATAAGTCCGAGTATACATGTTTTGGGCAAGGCAGAGCATGAATAAATTCAATTCGATGCCTAGCAATAAATTTTTAACCTTTGAGACAACTGATGTATGTCGTAACTTTAGACAACAAGCTCCAAGCCTAGCTTTTATTTCAGATTCATTACGATAATGAATGTGTTTCTAGACATTATCATGGTATAATACACGTGAAAAATTGAATTGATATATTCTTGATTTATGTTGCACCCGTTGCAACACACGGTCACTCATCTTGTACTATAAAAAATTGTGATGCTGGCTATTTCGACAGCCTGTTGGGCCGCCCTAAGAAGAGGGGAGCTATTTTTTGTTTACAACAGTTTTTTAATTTAGTTTACTTTGGTTTAGTCCAAATAAATTTACCAGCAAAATCAAATGATTTTGGCCAGGAGTTTGTTACCTGTAATGACTTTGGTGACGGCTACAACGAGTAGAGATGAAAACGGATGAAAATGGGTGGAAACCCCCCTCATGTTCTTGTTTTCTATAATTTTTTGAAAGAAACGGGATCATGTTTGAAAAAGTCGGATAAAAAACAGAATCGTGATATGTGAACAAACAAAAACAGACAAATACCAACGCGGAGAGCCAAAAAGTTCAAGATCACATGATCTAATGTTCCCGAGTATGCATGTATAAAGTTACACAACAATATACACGTATGAAGATTGGTCTAACATTCACTTGCTGACATGTGTGTTAATACATTAACATGCAAAATGGGTGATTAATAGGTATATTAAAATAATACAAGGACATGTAATTGTTAGACATTTCACGCATAAACGGGCAGCTCACAAATGTGACGTCCTGGTATAAGTAAAGAGGGTTAGTTCTTGGGCCTCGTTTCCGGTTATAATTTGATGGGCCATACAAACAGCTTAATTGCCCAGCATTCTTATTTGTGAAATCCAGGTCCGGTTCTGGAGCCAAGTGGGCCCAGCTTTCCATACGGATACCGAGGAGTTCTCGGAGCGCAACCATTATACAGTGTGATCCCCAAAAGACCTAAATATATGTTTGGTAAATGGATTTCCATCGCGTTTAATCTTCACCATCACAATAAAATGCTGAGGAACCACTACGACAAATGTTCAGGAATAATTTACACAGTTGGAAAGGTCTGCTGGACTCAATAGCTGATCAATTTCTTCAGCTACCAGCCTTCTTTGAGCATCATGTTCTTCTCCAGTATATACTTTCCTTCTTTATATTTCTGGTCTTCGTTATAAGCTTTCTCCTGCATCCAATGGGTAGAGGACTCATCATGACATTAACATGGTTCACAGAAAAACCACAAAACATCGACAACTAGGCCAAACATCTCAAAGCCTAGCAGACAGGCTTGGTTGATCACGTGGCAATGCCAACTAGCATGAACTAACAACTCGTGAAAGGAAAGAAAACCATGGCAAAGAAAAGGTGGAAGAATAAGTTAGAACATGTGTTCCTCGGTTAGCAAGTACTATTCCATATTGCTATGAACTAACTGTTAACCATTTTTTGTATTTTTCTAAGTTGTTTAGACTGCCTAGGGCAAATCACATAATGATAAAGGATTACTATTAAGTATAACATCTCATGTACTCTAGCTATTGAGCTCAGGACTGGAGCATGTGACTGATTAATCACATTAAATAGTGCAATAACCCCATCCCTAGTTTAAGATACACCTTGAACACTAAACATTGCAAATTCTGTGCACCTCATGATTCTCATTCGTGTAAATAACAGTGAGGGATGTCACAACAAAACCCAATGCGCAACAACAACAACAACAACAACAACAACAAAGCCTTTAAGTCCCAAACAAGTTGGGGTAGGCTAGAGTTGAAACCCAACAGAAACAATCAAGGTTCAGGCACGTGAATAGCTGTCTTCCAAGCATTCCTATCTAAGGCTAAGTCTTTGGGTATATTCCATCCTTTCAAGTCTCCTTTTATTGCCTCTACCCAAGTCAACTTCGGTCTTCCTCCGCCTCTCTTCACGTTACTATCCCGACTTAGGATTCCCACTACGCACCGGTACATCGAAGGTCTCCGTTGCACATGTCCAAACCATCTCAACCGGTGTTGGACAAGCTTTTCTTCAATTGGCGCTACCCCTAATCTCTCACGTATATCATCGTTCGAACTCGATCCTTCTTGTATGCCCATAAATCCAACGCAAAGACATCGCATTTCCGCCGACACTTAGTTGTTGAATATGTCGTCTTTTCAGAGGCCAACATTCTCGCACCATACAACATAGCAGGTCTAATCGCCATCCTATAAAACTTGCCTTTTAGCTTACGTGGTACCCTTTTGTCACATAGGACACAGACGCTTGCCGCCACTTCATCCACCACCTTTGATTCTATGGCTAACATCTTCATCAATATCTCCATCCCTCTCGTAGCATTGATCCTAAATATCGAAAAGGTATCCATCCTAGGCACTACTTGACCTTCCAAACTAACATCTTCCTCCTCCCGAGTAGTAGTGCAAGTCACATCTCATATACTCAGTTTTAGTTCTACTAAGTTTAAAACCTTTGGACTCCAAAGTCTCCCGCCATAACTCCGGTTTACGATTCACTCTGTCCGGCTTTCATCAACTAGCACTACATCGTCTCATGAAAAGCATACACCAAGGGATGTCCCTTGTATGTCCCTTGTGACCTCATCCATCACTAAAGCAAACAAATAAGGGCTCAAAGTGACCCTTGATGTAGTCCTATCCTAATCGGGAAGTCATCCGTGTCTCCATCACTTGTTCGAACTCTAGTCACAACATTGTTGTACATGTCCTTAATGAGCCCGGCGTGCCGTTTGGGACTTTATGTTTGTCCAAAGCCCACCACATAACATTCCTTGGTATTTTATCATAAGCCTTCTCCAAGTCAATAAAAACCATGTGTAGGTCCTTCTTCTTTCTCCCTATACCGGCTCCATAACTTGTCTTATTAAGAAAATGGCTTCCATGGTTGACCTTAGGGCATGAACCCAAATTGGTTCATAGAGACCAGCGTTATTGCTCTCAAGCGATGCTCGATAACTCTCTCCCATAGCTTCATAGTATGGCTCATCAACTTAATTCCCGGTAATTTGTACAACTTTGAATATCCCTTTATTCTTGTAGATCGGTACTAATATACTTCTCCTCCACTCATCGGGCATCTTGTTTGATCGAAAAATATGGTTGAACAACTTGGTCAACCATACTACACATACTATGTCCCGAGGCATCTCCACACCTCGATTGGGATAACATCCGGTCCCATCGCCTTACCTCCTTTCATCTTTTTCAACGCCTCTCTGACCTCAGATTCTTGGATTCTCCGCACAAAGCGCCTATTGGTGTCATCAAAAGAGTCATCCAACCTGAAAGGTTGTGTCCATATTCTCACCATTGAACAATTTGTCAAAATACTCTTACCATCGATGTCGGATCTCATCCTCCTTTACCAAGAGATGCTCCCTTTCATCCTTAATGCACTTAACTTGGTTGAAGTCCCGTGTCTCTCTCTCACGAACCCTAGCCATCCTATAAATGTCCTTCTCTCCTTCCTTCAGTACTCAAATGTTGATAAAGATCCCAGACGCGCTCTACCCTTTGCACACACTTACATTTCGCTTTGCGGTCTTCTTTGCCACCTTGTACTTCTCTATGTTGTCCACACTCTGTCATGGTACAAGCGTCTATAGCATTCTTTCTTCTCCTTAATAGCCCTTTGGACTTCCTCGTTCCACCACCAAGTGTCTTTAGCCTCGCGTCCCCTTCCTTTGGTTACTCCACACACCTCTGAGGCTACCTTCCAATGTTGGTTGCCATCTTGTCCCACATATTGTTTATGTCGTCTTCTTCCTTCCAAGAGCCCTCTTTGATAACCCTTTCCCTAAATACCTCGACGTCTCGCCTTTGGGTTTCCACCACTTTGTTCTTTCAATCTTAGCTTGTTTATCCCTACAGCACGCACTTTTGAAAAGCGAAAATCGCCACCAAAAGCTTATGTTGAGAAACAACACTCCCCAGTATCACCTTGCAATCCAAGCATGCTCGTTTGTCCTTTCTTCTTGCGAGGACAAAGTCAATCAGCTCTGATGTTGTCCGCTCATCAAGGTCACTAGATGAGATTCTCTCTTTCTAAAGAAAGTGTTGGCTATCATCAGGTCAAAAGCTACCATGAAGTCCGAACTTCCTCCCCTCCGATTCCTACTACCATACCCAAAACCTCCATGAAGCGCCTCGAAACACAAGCGCTTGTAGTACCTACATGCCCATTAAGATCTCCTCCTATAAAAAGCTTCTCACTACTAGGTATAGCTCTAACCAGGCCATCTAAGTCTTCCCAGAACTGTCTCTTAGCACTCTCGTCGAGACCTACTTGGGGGGCATACGCACTAATTACGTTCAAGACCATATCACCAACAACAAGCTTGACTAAGATAATCCTATCTCCTTGCCTTCTCACTCCCACCACACCATTCTTGAGGCTCTTATCAATCAAAACTCCTACTCCATTTCTATTCGCGACTGTCCCTGTGTACCAAAGCTTGAAACCTGTATTGTCCACCTCCTTCGCCTTCTGACCCTTCCATTTAGTCTCTTGAACGCATAATATATTTACACGCCTCCTAGTCGCGGTATCAACAAAACCCAATGCGCATTATTAAAAATTCAATAGAAACCTGTAAACTCATGAGACCCAATGCAATTATAGGCATCCTACAGAAGATGCAGCAATGGTTCATCATTCAGCCTTGCAGCTGGTAACATCAACCTATGAAATTCTAATATGTGAATGAATGAAAAAGGGCTTGCATTAAAAAGTAAGTAATTTTTCCCTTGATGAATTCTCAGTTAACGCATGTATAGGTGTATTTTGTACACTAAAAATGTTATTAATATAAAGCAAAGAGGTACTAGGAAATAGAAGTGCCCATAATCATGTCGTATCCATGAATAACTGAATAACTCCACAGAACAAGTATCCACACTTGAGTAATAAGCAACAGAGTTCTATGTATAATGGTCCTCTAGAAGTGCTGCGATTATTCCTCACAGACATTTACACATTATTTATGGGAATAATGCTTATGAGACATCTTGTTTCAGAAAACATTAGCAGCATTCAAGAATTATTCAATTGGAACATCAAGTCACATATAGTTTTGCAAGACCTATCCTCCTCAATGTAACGAAAGCTAAGATACAACGTCAAAATATAACCACCAACAAATTTCCTTGTTTAAACACCTAACTTTGCAATTTTCAATAAATTTTACAGCACAAATGACAAATTGGTAACTTACATATCTCCAGCCAAGGAGTCGTTGGCAGCAGCTACAGTAGATATCATTCACTGTATGCAACCCAGTCATGAGATAGCGATCCTCGTTGGGACCAAGGCTCACATTCACCCTGGATGCGACATTGACCCCGGATCAACATGTAAACAAGAATTTGCAATGGATAGTTGTTCAAATTGTCAATGAACAATTATACTATATAATACTTAACTCATTCTACCATCTGCAACTATCAAATGCTAATAACCAATGTAGACAATTACATGTTTGTTCGATTGGATGAAAGTGAAACCGATGGTTAACTTCATAACTCACATCCTTATCTAAAAAAACTCCATAACTCTCATCGATTGTATTCATTAGGGAAATAATGAATGTGCACAGTGGACAAAATGCGATTTACAGGTTCAATTGATTCCAGTCCTTAAGGATGCCTTCACAAGTCATTGGTGTTAATGCTCTACAAGTCATTTGTACTGGATCATGGTTTAGCACCAAAGAGCAGAAAATGGCCCGAGCGTTGCTTCATGGTCTCAATCAAATGGCCCCGACCAAGCTCTCTAAGGTCATATCTGAGTGTTCATCTCTATTCCCTATCGAGCAGGGTCCTGTTGACCATGTGAAATCTGAAATGCTGTATGTCTACATAGCCTCCAGACTCGTAAGTTTATAACCCAACATCAACAATTTCTAGTACAGTAGTAGTAATGACCATAAAATCCATAAGACTATCATCCATAACAAGAACAAACAAAATGTTGATTCATGTAACGTCGTGTGTTGCATAACTCATTTATTCACATCCAAACAGGAATAGAGTCCTCCCATCCATTAACGATACGATCTAAGAAACAGTGTCACATGCCCTTAACCACATTCATACCTTATAGCTTGATTGCACAAGGCATCATTTGATAACCATCATCCCTCTACCAACGACCAACAGGATTCAGGTAAGAATAACATTTTTCAGACAGTGTTCAATGCAATTCAGGCAGCTAAAGTCGATGCAGCTCTAAAAAGTAACAGTGCGTGGCGAGAGCTAGCAATCTTATATTCGATATATACTAGCTAGTTAGCTCGGAATTCCAGTAACTGCAAGAGACTAAACTACCGGCATTGTAGCCATCGCACAATCCACGGTCAGAGAACCGCGAGAAATCAAAGTGCGGGGAACAGAGAGAGAGGGACAGGCTCAGCTCACACGCTGTCGAAGAGGTAGGCGCGGCCGCGGCGGCCGCGGAAGTCCTTGGACAGGATGGCGTCCGGCGACGCCGAGTGCACCCTGCAGTACTTGCACCTGAACACCTTGGGCCCCGGGAGCGACTCCACGAACAGGAGCCCCATCCCTGCTCTCGCAAAACCCGCCCGGCGAGCTCAATCCACCGGCGACCCGCACCAGATTCCCTGGATCAACCCAGCAACAACCCACCAACCAACTAAGGCCTCTAAATCTCAATGTCCTATCAGCAAATCCCGAACCGCCAGAACGCCAGGGGGAGGCGGCGATTGGGCCCGATCGACATCGGCGGGGGAGGGGATCGGCGGGCGAATCCGGCGGAGACCGCGATGGGATTTAGTCGGGGGTTGGGGAGGGTGAGCGAGGCAGACGTGGGGTTGGGAAAGCGGAGACGACGAGGAAACGAAATGGAAATGTGGAATCGCTGCCTCCTTGGTCTTTTTCGGACGAGTGGTTTTTTATAGAGGCTTTTAATTGTGTGTTATTATAAAAATTAGTAATTACCCATGATCCATTAAAAAAGTTGAGTTCCACTGCTCTCAACTCTTTTTGTTCTCCACACCACTTCTATCAGATTTGGCTCTAACGATATCATACTGCGTGTGCGAAAAGTCGAAAATATCCTCAGATCTAAATATGCAATTAATTTTTTTAGCATTTTAATGATCTCAAATGAAAAAACTCAAAAATAGAAAGAATGTTTTTGTAAAAATTATCTTCATTTGATTCCGTAAAAAAATGTGATTTTCTAAGACATTAATAATATCAAATCATATTTTTTGTACAGAATTAAATGAAGATAATTTTTATACAAAAATTATAAATATTGTCGAGATCTACAACTTTCTAGTTTTGAGTTTTTTCACTTGAGGTCATTAAGATGTCCAAAAAAATTAATTGCATATTCAGACCTGAGGGTATTTTGGACTTTTCACAACCGTGGTTGAAGGCCGTTAGAGTCAAATCTGACGAAAGTGGCGTGGAGGGCAAAAGAGTTCACAGTAGTGGCACCTGTGAGAACTCAACTTTTTTAATGGCTTATAGATAATTACCAACTTTTATAATGTCACCCAGGATAAAGCCTCTTTTTCTACGCTCCGAATTTATAGAGTGGGACGACGATGGTCCTTGTCCTTGTTCCTTTGACGCGAGTGCCAGCGTGTTGATTGGGTTCGATGCGCGTCATTTGTTTTCTCGCACTCTTTTGTGTGGTTCGTCATGGGTGCGTAGTTCGGATCGGATCGCGTGGCTCCAACGTGCCGTTGCGGGAGCACCCGGTGGAAGAAAAGTCACCCGCCGAGAGGTGAGAGCGATGCGAGGACGGCGGGTGCAAGAAAATGGAGGCCTCGGCGGACGAGCAACGGAGCTCCTGATAAGGACTGCACTGGCAACGTGGAGCGTCCATTTTTTTAGTAAAGTTCATGGCCGGTCCTCGAACTTGTACTGGTGTGTCCTTCTGGTCCCTAAACTTAGAAAGTGTCATTCTGATCCTTATACTCTATTCGGATCTCATATTCGTCTGAACGGCTCTAGGCCACATGTCAGCTCCATCTGCCTCTGGGACGTCGTTCGGGCGGACAATCTAGCGCGTGCTGCTCGAGGCCGTCGTGGAGCCGCTCCCTCCCACCCACGACGCATCGCTCGAGCGCGGCCGTGATCTCCACCAGCGGCGGTGGATCGAACCAGCCCATGCTCCCTGGCGACTGCGCAACCAACCACGCAACATGTTCGTGAGACAGCAACAAGGGTGTAGGGTGCGCGGCCACAAGCAGCACGCTAGCGCGCGCACAACGGGTATGACTCCTACGGTGGCCGCGTCACGGCCGTGCCTGTGTCCATCACCATGTCGTGCCTGATCCCGGACACGCCGACGTAGCAGAAGCTCGGCGCCTGCGGCTTGCACACGAGCGGCACCCGCACGATGCCCTCCGGCACCGCCTCGCTCCGCCCGAGCACCAGCGACCCACCCACGCCCGTCGCCCTAAGGACACCTCGTACTCGCAGCTACCGAATCGCCTCACCTAGAGATGCGCAGCGTCCGACAGATGGCCGAGCCGCACGACATGCCGGAGAAGGTCGCCGACGTGTCGTAGTGGAAGAGCGGGTCTGCCTACGTGTAGCACTCCTAGATGACATCGCTGCCGGAGTCCACCACGAGGTGATGCTCCATGGGTGGCGAGCCCACGTCCACTTGGACGCAGTACTTGCCACCGCTGCCCTCATCGAGGCCCGACACCACCTTCTCGACTCCGTGCCGAGAGAAGGAAGTCCTTCGGTTGGTACGTCGGGGACAGGCGTCTCACGATCACGAGGTACTCGGCGTGTGCACTGTCACAGGCCATGAGGTCAACCATCACGTGGAGACACGCAGGATATGTCACGTCGATGACTGGGTCAAGGGCTGCGATGGCGACGCGCCCGTGCGGCCAAGAGGCGACGACGGCTCGCCCGCGTGCCTACGTGGAGGCGGCGGTAGCTCGCCCGCGCTCCTACGAGGTGGTCACGGCGATGGCTCATGTAACACCCCTGGTGTTACGAGCTTGTTAGCACCGCGATTAGGCCTAAGAAAAATTTTTGAAACAAGTTTCTCGGGTTTTTAATTTAAAACGTACTTGAGGCGATAAGCGAATCATGTGTGACTTAGTGGACTCAAATAAACGCTCAAGTTAAGTTACGCAGTGCGTAGAAATATTTAGAAATGCCCGATAACGATTCTAGCAAGTAAATGGTGAATGGCTTGTTCTGATGGATTGAACATGAAAACAATTTTATAAACAAAAATATGATATGACTGGTATATAGTACTTAAGTAAAATTCGGAGCATGATTCTGGTGGCAGTTAAAATATTGAGTAATAAACTTTAGTGCTTTAGCCGTGTTTGAAAATATAAATAGTTGGCTTGGTAAATGAATATTTGAGAGCTGAAATAATAACGAGAGTGCCGCTGGCCACTCGCCTCACCTACCTTACCAGTATGACGCGCGTGTTGATGGATGAGTTGGCCGGGCTGCTGCCGTGTACTACTTTGCTTGTTTTCCCTTCCTCACTACCAGTTCCGTCGCTTCACCATGTGCCTCTTGGTGTGCTCTCTGCTCTCTGTTGTCTGCCTCTGTGTCGAGCCGAGCAACCGACGTGCCTGTGCTTGCACGTGTGCCACTGTCACTCAGTCACGTCGTAGGTCAATCCATGCCAGACCTGTCTCTCACTCCCTCCCTTTTTCCTCTGCCGCACCGAGCCCTCGCAGCATCGCCGCCAAGCCCCATACTCCTCCCTTTTCTTCTGGCTGCATTGCTCTCTCTGATGCAGTCGTCGTCATCGTGCCTCACGTCGTCCATCATGAGCTCCACTGCCGCGAAGTTCTTGCAGCTTTCAGCGCCGCTTCCCTGTGCCCACGCATCAGCGTACCAGCCATGGCTATGTCTGCCGTTGCCCGGCCCGGACGCCGAGCCCTATGAAGCTCCCTGCTGCCTCGCACTGGTCCCCGCTCTCCTGCAATTGCGCTGCTCCTCCTGAGCCATCGCGTCAATGGCCCGCTGCTCCAGGCGGCCTCCGGCAGCACCTGCGGCCGCTCCCGTCACCGTGGCCATCGTCGGGCCATGGACGCCGCCGTCCCGGCCGTGCCGCCCCACCTCCTGTGCGTGCATGCTCCACGCTCCACGCTGGAACGGCTGCTCCACCGGTGCCGAAGGGCTTGCCTCGCTGAGCCACCGCGACCCGCCTGCTCGGCGTTGCCCTGTTCCCCTCGCCTCTACGCTGGCTTTTCCGCATGCCTCGGTCGTGCTGGTGCTCCACCTGTGCTGAGGAACTTGCCTCGTCGGCCGCCGTGTCCCACAGCCATCAAGCCTGCGTTGCTCGTGTCGCTCCTCCTACCGTCTTCCGCTCTGGAGCCGTCGTTGCCCCACGCGTCGTTCCGCCGTGCACCCTGGGAGTGCTATCGCTGGGCCACCATCTGTGAGGTCGAGATGGCAGACTAGAAGGGGGTGAATAGTCATTTCTAAAATTAATCACATCGGCTAACCAAAACAAGTGCAGAATTAAAAACTATCGGTCTAGCCAAGACTACACCCCTTTATTTATGTTCTCTAGCACCTTCTAGAGATACTAATTAAGCAACAAAGGTGTCGGACTAGCTAGAGCTCACCTAATCAATTCTAGACGCAAGGTCACACAAACCTATGCTACTAGTACTTTAAGCAACAAGGGAGCTCCTACACATGCTAGTAAGCAAAAGCACAAAGCTAGCTAAGCTCACTAGTAATGCTCAATAACAAGGCAACCAATGCCAAATTAGAGAGCGCAAATACTTAGCTACACAAACTAAGCAATGTGACTAATAAGGTTACACAAACTAAATTAGCCACGCAAGGGAGCTACTTCTATGCTACACAAGCAAGAAGGTAACTAGTGAGCTACACAAGCTTAACAAAACACAAGAGCAACTACACAAGCACAATGTATATGAAAGTAATTACAAGCTTGTGTAACGAGGATGCAAACCAAAGGGAAGAACAAGGTTGACACGGTGATTTTTCTCCCGAGGTTCACGTGCTTGTCAACACGCTAGTCCCCGTTGTGTCGACCGCTCACTTGGTGGTTCGGTGGCTAATTGGCATCACCCGCCAAGCCCGCACGTCGGGCACCGCAAGAACCTACCCAAAAACTGAGGGTAGCTCAATGACACGCTTTACTAGAGTTGCTCTTTGTGGCTCCCGCGGGACGAGCACAATGCCCCTCACAAAGCTCTTCTCCGGAGCACCGCACAAGCTTCTTGCGGGCTTCGACGGAGACCACCACCAAGCCATCTAGGAGGTGGCAACCTCCAAGAGTAACAAGCACCACCAGCTTGCAACTCAATCACCTAGTGCCACTCGATGCAACCTCACGACGCAATCGCACTAGAATCGCTCTATCACACAATCAGATGATCACTATCAAGCATATGTGAGATGGAGGGCTCCCAAGCACTCTCAAGCATGGACACATAGTCCCCCGAGGTGCTCAACACTAGCCATGGCCGAGACCACCTTCTATTTATAGCCCCATGGGCTAAACTAGTCGTTACCCATTCACTGGGTAAAACTCGAGACGACTGGACGCTCCGGTTAG